CCCCCCAAGGCCCTGGGGGGGGGGGGGGGGCTGCTACACCTGATCGGAGCGCGGACGCGCAGGATGCGTCTGAAAACACTTCCTTAAATGTTGCCAGAAGAACTGCTGGTACCTGCCAAGCCCTGCCCTGTGCAGTCAGCGTCTTCTGCACAGCGTGGAGCCAGGAACTTCGCTTTCCCTGTCATGTTACGAGAAATCACAGACTCACAGAATGGTCAGGGTCGGAAGGGCCCTCTGTGGGTCACCCAGCCCAACCCCCTGCCCAAGCAGGGTCACCCAGAGCAGGCTGCACAGCACCACGTCCACGGGGCTTGAATATCTCCAGAGAAGGAGACTCCACGGCCCCCCTGGGCAGCCTGGGCCAGGGCTCCGTCACCCTCAGAGGGAAGAGCAAACCCGAATACACCCGTGTGCCTCTCCCTGGGCGGTAGTTAAGCTGAGCTGGTTGTGGCATTGCACTCGCAGGGACAGTCTGTCACCAACATTGTGAGAATTTCAGCCGTAACGCAGCACAAGGAGCCTGCTCGCTGGCACGGGCACCCTTCGGAGAGGGCTGGTAGTGCTGGCTCTGGGCTTCCCTCCCGGGTGACACCGCACAGGACCCGGCCCGGACACCCACACCCTGGTCTTGCCTCCCAGGAGAGCGGCTGGGAGCTCTCACTGCAGAAAACAGCGATTTTCAGCTGCTGCCTGGCACCGTTGAGGCAATCTTACCCCCAAAGAAAAGGGCCCCCACCTCGAGGGGCCCTGCCCAAGGTCGCTCTCTGGCACAGCGGTGGGTGGCCTCTGCCGTCCACCGCATACGGACCAGAGCTTTGGAGCAACAGCTCACATTTAGCACCCTTCTTGCTTAAGAAGTTTGCTGTGAACTTCTCGCTTTATCGTAGAACCATAGGATCATTAAGGGTGGAAAAGACCTCAAAGATCATCAAGTCCAACCGTCTCCCCAACACCACCATGCCTGCTAAGCCATGTCCCCAATTGACGTATCTACATGTTTTTTGAACCCCTCCAGGGATGGTGAGTCCCCCACTGCCCTGGGCAGCCTGTTCCAATGCCTGAACTCTTTCCAAAAAGAAATTTTTCCTAATATCCAATCTAAACCTCCCCTGACACAACTTGAGGCCACTACAGCATTTAGCACAGGTTGAATATGCCCCAAGTTTAAATTCTCGTTAGCAGTGCCCTGGGTGAGCGTGCGCCGTTTGCCCTGGTCCCACACAAGAGCCTCATCCAGGCGCCGTTATTTGTGTGACGAACGCTGTGTCCCTTTGCCTCGTAGCGGTGCACACGTGTGCCCTGAACAACGGCGGCTGTGAGCACGACTGCGTGCAGGTGACGCTGACGCAGCACCGCTGCCGGTGCCGGCACAGCTACCAGCTGCGGGAGGACGGCAAGCGCTGCGTCCGTGAGTCACCTCGCGCGCGGCCGGTGTCAAAGAGATCAGAGCAGGGAGTTCCTCTCCGGGAAAAACTCTGCCTGTTGTATTGTGGCGGCTTATTGGGAAGGAATTATTATTATTAAGGAAGAGCTGAAGGAGTGCAGCCAACGAAAATGAGATTGTATGAAGGCACTCGCTTCTGAGAAAGCGAAGGAAGGGCAGCGTGTCGCTGCGGGACGGGATCTTCTCCCCCTGCTTGCAGACAGCTTGCTGGCTGACCTGCTCCCGGCTGCGGGAGGGAGGGAAGCTGAAGGGGGGACAGAGCAGTTTCATCTCCTCATTCATAGCAGCTGGCATTCAAGAAGCAGGAGGAGGGAAGTCTTTAGCTGTGAAGCTGCTAGGGGAAAAGGAACAAGTGGGGTATTCATAATGCAGCAGTCAGCAGGGTTTTGTAGCATCTGTCCAGGTCCTGGAGCAGGTCAGGGATTGACAAATCTCTCGATAGCAGCATCGGAAGCAAGTTTTCCTGGTGCTTGCTCGGTCATCTCCGCAGAGGGAGGGAGATGCCTATGCCAAGCTGCTGCTGGAAAGGTTTTACTCAGGTTAGGGCCTTACTTTTGCGGGGTCTCACGCTGTGTAAATCCTCCTACCTGGAGGGAGCAGTAAACAGTAGCAGAGATTTTCTGTCTGGTGCAGAACGGTCTTTCACAGACTGCAGACTTTTTGGCTAGGCATGGCTGCTCGAGGCTGTGCTTTCCCGTAAGCAGAATGCCAGTAAGAGCTAGGACTAGTATGAACTAAGCCTGCCTCTGCTTCGACCTGCAGTGAGGAACCCCTGCGCCGACAGGAACGGGGGCTGCATGCACCAGTGCCACAACCACCGAGGAACAGCCCGCTGCCAGTGCCACCCCGGCTACCGGCTGGGGGCCGGCGA